AACAAATATAGATCTCTTCCAGTCAGTTGGCCAAGTGGTTGTTCTCCAGATTTCTTGGCACAACTTGGTGAGCACATCTACAGCAGCATCTGTTAGCTGAAATATGTCAATTGGTATACCATGTATTCCTGGGGCCTTATTTTTTGCTATTTCCTTCAAAGCAGCTTGAACTTCTGCCTTCATCACCATAGGCTCTGGATTTTTCCCTCCATGGGGCAAGTGGGGGGTCGGGACAGGAGGGGGGTCGGAGTTGCAGGAAGCTTGGGTAGGAGGGGTGCTGAGGTGGAGAGGGGTGTGGGTGGAAGTGGGAGCAGGGGTGGGATGGCACTTGGAAGCAGAGTGTGGGGATAGGGAATGGGATGTGGGTGGGATGCTGTGGGTGCAGGGTGGGAGGCATGCAAGGTTTCTCACATGGCACGATCTGGGGGCTTCTCTGGCCGCTCCCTGGGCACTGCAAGGCCTCCCACTCCTTTTGACCCAAGCAGCCTCCACTTCTCACCCTCCCTCCCTCCCCCTACTCCTGCCCACCAGCCCTTCCTCATGTCCTCTTTGACCCACCCCCACCCCTACTCTGCGCTCTGTCTCCCTTTTGCCCTCCATCCCCCAGGCCTTGTCTACCCTCCATCGTTCAGTCCCCAGCCTCTGCCTCACCCACTCCTCAGAAACACATTCATTACCTTCGCCCCCCCCCCAACCTCCTATCCCTTCCTCATGCACCTGCCCTTCCACTTCCCCTTACTCCTTAGCTACTCAGGGCGCATCCCAGAGCCCCCCAGTGCAGGCAGAAAAGCAGTGCCTTCCCCAGGCCTTGCAGGAATAAGGCTCCCACTGTAGGCCTCCAGCAGCACCTGCAGGGCGTAGGCCAGGAGCTGAAGAAGGAAGGAGTTTACACTGTCCAGGGGACGCTGTGTGTCTGCATGAGACCTGTAAGCCAGCCAAGCACCACTCTCCCATTTGGAAAGATTGTCTTTGTTAAGTAGCTGGGCAGGTTGAATTTTTAAATTGATCTTTTCTGAAATATATATAAAGAGCAGATGGACAAGGAAGCAGCAAGGTGAAGACTGGAAGGTCGCCAAGGAAGGACAGAACCCAGTTCTGGCCAAGAAAGACAGTTTATTGAGGAGAAACTACCAGTCTGGCTCCCAAGCAGAGCTCAGCTTTCACTTAAAGCTATAGTGGAGTTTTATATTGTCTGACAAGAAAATTGAGAGTCAGGACGTTCGCAGTTGCTTGGTACACCATAAGGGAGCAAGTAGGGAGGTCGTGGATAGGTAATCCTGGGAGAGGGAGGTGAAAAGTTTCTTCAACTCTAACAGCTGGTGCTTTGATCATTACTGTAGCTGTTTTGGGGAAAGGGAGTGTACTGGGGAGAAAAGGAGGGGAGCAGGGAGCAAGCTCTGCTGTCCTGACACAAACCAAATCAAGATGGCCAAGGGGCCAAGGCCAAGCAGAGCCAATGCAGAAGGCCTTCCCCTGTGTCTGTACTGTGCACTTGGCCCTGGCTGTGAAATTCCTGCTTGCTCACATTCCCACGTTTATTCTCTGATGGCAACACGAGGCAAGGAAGCCGGGTGCTGAGGTCACGCAGCACCTCAAGCTGGTCCCTGACTCTTTGAAGAGCTGCTCACGGACGCCTCACAGCAGAACGAGAGGAACCGCATCCGGGAAAGAAGCAAGGACTCGCTGAGAATTTGGGGGTATGAAACACATTTGAATGCAAACTGTGTCCAGATGGTCAAAATACCAGGAACACGTGATAGCAGAGGCCCCGTTTGCTAGGTAAAATCAGATGGCCATAGCACCACTGTTATAAAGCAGCTCTGACATGGGGGCGGGGGTGGGAGGAGAACAGGCTAAGAGTGGACAGATAAACCCTGCATTGGAACAGATGAAGGAAAGAACTGCTTACAAGGAGCATATGATTAGGCATTGTACATATGACAACAG